CATTGGATACAAGAAGAATCTTGCCATGAATGAATATCCATCCTGAGTTCTATGTCACAATAGCAATGTAACAGAATTAAGAAGCCAAAGAATGAGAGGTGACCAGATTCTTTACCAATACAACTTAAAACCCTTATTATTTGACATGGGGAACATTCACATCCCACCTGCCTGCACCAAAAGTTTATTCTGCGACTTTCTATCTAGCCTATCGTGTCCCCTCCAGCAACATGGGCTGGCTACCATTTTAATGTGACTCAGAACTTAGCCATGGGTAGTTTTTCAGAGCAAGGAATATTGCAAAGAGATGAGATTTAGTCTAAGGAAAAAACGTGAGCTATGAGGGGGATTTGTGGCAATCCACAGGACTAATTTAAATCTACCACCAGCTGAAGCAGATAGAGTCTAGACGGTTGGTCTACAAAAACCATCTTAAAAGAACAGCCTGGTGACATAAGAGTGAAAAGAGAAAGATCATGCTATATGCCATTTTATCTTCAAGTTATTGTTAAAGCAGAATATATTTTTAATTCTCTCAATTATACTCAAAGAGGAATTCAAATATTTTACTTCTGAGGAACTGAAGATTCAGAATATTAAGAAGTTACTCCATGGAGACATCACACCCCACTGTTGATTAAATACTCCCTATATGAGTGTTCCCAACCAGAACCTTACAAAGTAAAAGCTTGGGTCTTGACCAAAAGCCAACTGTGTTCGGGTTTCACCTCCACCACTTAACAACTTCCTCACATCATGTAACTTTTCCATACTTCAGTTTCCTCATCTACAAAGATAAAAAGAGGAGTTATTAAAAAAAATTAAATACATAGGTATACACTTGGCAACCTGCAGTCCTAGATAAATGTTAGATAAGTAGCCTTTGCAATCAACATTCCCATGAGCCAAGACAAACACAGCCTTCTCCTTTAAACTCCATTTGGCCATTTCCTCATTTTTCATCAATTAGTCATCCTTCCTCTCCTATACCCACAAGCCTTCCCAATTCAAAACAGTCTTCCTGGGACAGGTGAGCTTTGAAATGAAAATGGGAATAAACTTGCCGATTTCTCAGCAAAGTTGCCCAAACTTCGAGGTAAGAAGTAGCAGGAGGCGTGATTCCCTCACAGGAGCACCTACTACCTGTAGCACGGTGAAAATGGTGCCCACCTTGAGCTGATCAGCAGGTAGGCCTGGGTTCTTAATAAGTGTATAGATTACCAGACGCCTCTCCTGGAAATTGTGATTCAGGTAGTCAGAGTGGAAACCCAGGAATCTATGCTTTTATTGAACATTCTAGGCAATTCTTATCTTCAGGGAAGGTTGAGAAATTTTGGAGAAGGAGAGGTAGAATATAGGAAGGGGTTTTGGAAGACAGAACGCGTAAAGACAAAATTAGAGGCAGACTCAAGGGAAAAACGGAAAAAGCTCAAGCAAAGATGATCGTGCGTAAATCCCTAAGAAATGGTCCAGGAAGAAGAACGAGTAAGAACTCAAGTACTGAGACTCTGACAGGGCCACTGTAAGGCAGTTTCTCTTTCAGGCTGAGGTTTAAAGTCAACTCTCTTAAGAGGCATCTAGAAACTAGAAGTACCATTTCTTGGATTTTATCAGGTTTCTGTGGTTGCACTGTCCAAAACCTAAGTAGCTGGGTTGCCCCAAAGGCAAGCCGCATGGCCAAATAGAAGTTGCACAAATAGAAACAAAAGTTGGAAGAGATTCAGTGATTCAACTCCCGTGAATCCCTTCCTTCCATCGACTTCCTTGAGTCACTCTGCCTTGGTGCCATACCACTGATTCTCAGCTGCGGCCACATATTAGAGGCACGTACAGAACATTTTGTGAACTGCTTTCCAGACCTTGCCCCAGATCACTTACAGCAGAATTCACAGGAGCGGGTCCCATCACTGGCATTCTTTCAACCTCCGTGAATCTAAGGAACAGCCAAGGTGAGGACCATTCAACTCAACAAGTGGTTTTCAGAGAAGGAACATTAACACATCAGAATCATTTAGAAGTATTTAAAAATTGCTGATGCCCGAGACCCAGTTTCAGAGGTTGCCATTTAATTGATCTTAAGTGTAGCTTGGTAACCAGAAATGTTTAGAAGTGCACCAATTATTGACAATGTGCAGCCATGGTTGAGAACAACTCAGCCAGACTTGCTTTATCAAACTACAGCTAAGGAACAGACCAGTTTGTGGAAAATCAGGTGCATTTTGAAATTTAAATCCATGAGTCTGTGTTGAGAGAAAACACACACTAAGATTTGCATAAGAAGACCCTGGCACCAGCCTTCCCCTGAGAGGTAGCCCCCCTGTCGAGAATATACCTGCATTGTTCTCATCTTTTAACTTTTCCTTAATTTGTTTGGATATAGCAGAGACATTCATCTCTTTGATCATATGTCTCTAGGCATTTGGGGCAAATGGCTTAAGAGAAAGTCAGATGATCCATTTATGGGTCCTCTAAATCGATAACTGTCTTAAAGTTCAAGGTGAGAGCAACAGCTATATATAAAATGACATAACTCAGTGGATATAGACACCTACGTGACATCTCCCCCCAGAATTCTACAAGAATTCTTCTGTTTGGCCCGACATGTGGACCACCCAGAGCCAATCTCTGATTTTACAGACATTTCCTGTTAATTGCACTTATCAACTGACGAAAACATAGTTCAAGGGAAGTAGTAATCACACCAGTTGAATTCTTAGAATTAATGAGCTCAGCAGAAAGGCACTTTTCTGACGCATTAGGGTGACCTTTCTGGAATGTAATGGGATTATGTGGATTAAAAAAACCAAGTAGTTACAGAATGGATACATCAAAAAAATAAAATACTTACCTGGTAGCCATTAACTCCTTTTGGCATTGCTGCAGAGTCCATGGCATATTCTTTTAAATATCACTATGACAGAGAGCTCTTTGTGCTTTGAGGTAGATGTGAATTCATAGAAGTAATCTGAACCCACTCTTCCGAAGAGGGCAAGTTGTCAAAGGGAATAGTCCCTTTTGTTCCGAAACAAAAGAGACCATGGGTAAAAAATAAAAATAAAAAATCAATACACGTAGGTTGCCAAGAAAGGAAGAGAGAAGAATGAAGGGAAAGGAAAGGAGATAATGGAAGAAAAGGTAAGGGAGGAAGGAAAAAGGGTAGCTTAAGTGCCCAGTATCAAAAAGAGCTATTAAGGACACCATCTTACCTATCAATTCTGAAACAATTTTAAAAACAAGGCTAGTTTCTTACAGGGCTGTTTCTAATCACACTTGTAGGTTACATTTTAAAAGTTCCCTACTCAGTCAATCACAGTTTTACATCTGTGTTGGGTATCTCCAAGCGGCTTTTCCTCATGTCTAGCACACTGGACACTTCCTTACAGAAAACACAGAAATGGAACACCAGGCGGCCCTGGCTTTAGGATTAGGGAGTAGAAATTGGGTAAAGCTGCCCCACTCCCCTGCCATAGATATGTGAATGCTTAGTCCAAAGAGCTTGCCCCTTTGGATAAAACAAGGTCACCATTCTTGGTTATGGTAGCCTTCTTGGGAGCATTCTGTAAATAGAGGTCCTTATAAGTGCTTGGTCTGTGCACACCAGAATACCATACCGGTAGTTAGGAATTCCATGTCTTACTGCCCCTTGAATAAGTCACAGGTGAGTAAGTCAAACCAAATATTCAACCAAAGTATCTCCCTTGTTTTCGGGGATCTTAAATCGTATTGCTCCTCAAAAGGAGAATCTGGGGCCAGATATTCACAGGGTTGAAAAAGTCTGTCAGAATAAAAAGACAGCAAAAAAATCTTGTGGAAGTTAACTTATATTGTCATAAGTGATAAACTTAGTTGTGGCTTGTTATGTAGGAGAAAAATACTAAAAATATTATTCTCAATGCATGTATAATTTGTATATATTTTATTGGTGTAAAAATGACTAGAATTTAACTGAATGCGAAATTCTAGAGAATATTCAAAGGGCAGCTCTATTTATATTCCAGGGTGTACCTCTTGCAACAGTAAAACTTTCTTAAGATGTTTTGAGAAATGCTCAATCACTACTTTTGAGGCATTGAAACATATGAACAAAACCAGCCACACTAAGAAAAAAAAATACATTTACCTTGGTTCTTGCTGATCCACAGGCATGGTAAAAATCTAAGCAATGAAAACTCAAAGCCTCGGTACTGCTGCTATTGAGGCATTTAAGAACCTAACCAGTCTCGGTGGGCCATTTTTATAGTTTGCCCGACACAGACGACCTTATTTCCAGAGGAGTAAGTCGTACCTCTGAATTAGAACACATTACATTGTGGAAATGTCTCAGGTGGAAACATCTTAAGAGAGTTTTATCGTCTTTCTGGATTTACTAAATCAAAGTAAAGTAGCATTTTCTATTTTCATTCTTTTTAATACTGCATCATTAAAAATAATTGAGACAGATAGGGTTTATTTCAATTGATGACTTCTTAGCTTTAGGTAGCAAGCCTAGTTTGATGAGGAATTATCTATAACACATCACCACATAAAACTGTCTTCTTAAATGACAGTGCTTTTTCTTAATTTTTGTTGATACTGTAAGTCTGGAATTTTATAATTTTCCTAGCTAGCTGTAGTGTACTCTATTTCTTAATCAGTAGTCTTTTTTTTTTTTTTTACAAAGTAATCTCTTTAGCATAGAAATTCATATAAGCACAATTTGAAATGCTTTAGCCTTAGAAACATATCCTGGCATGTTTTGGTAACACGTAGTATTAATATTTGGTGCAACAGCTTGTACATGGTCCATAGTCTGACACTATCATGACTTTAAGAGTTCCCTGCATGCCTATTTCATGATCTTTCTAAACTCTCTAAGTCTGAGGTACATCAGCACATTTCCTTTCAATATCCATTCACACGCAACACCCTTCCCTCCCCTCATCTGTACACATCGAACCAATTGGCAGAGAGCACATTTCCCCCTGAGCGAGCAGTATTGTGAATTTTATCTTCTCTTCCAGAAATCAGTTCGTCTTCGTTGCAGCAGATGAAATTTCTTGTAACACCTCTGCAGGTAACAAACATTGCTACTTCTTGATGCATCCATCCAACTCTCAGTATCCTTTTTTTTTTTTTTTTTTTTTTTTCTTCTTCACATGCTGCAGTTGGTCACTCTAGAAAGTTTAGTTAAAAAAAAAGAGCTTGTATCTTTGGAGTACAGCTGAAGCCTTGAGGCTCTGCCGTATAAGATGACATTAGGCATTTTGCTAACTTTGATGTTTTATTTCTGGTTTTAGTAATACATAGTCCAGCAAAGTAAAAATATGTTGAATGAATCCACAAGAAAGTCTCCTGGTATAATCAGTGTTCTTATGGTAACAGAAGGAACAGGGAGATGAGGTACACAGACTTGTGACTTCCATGTATTTTGACGTATTATGTCTGGGTTCATAGAGATTGGTATGTGAATTATTTGGGATCTTTATGGAATATTAGAGGCTGTAAAAGACTGAATTTACAAAGCTAGAGGCATTCGGGAATATAATTATCTCTGTCTTATAAGAAGGGGATCTTCATTCTATCAGCCAAAGATCCTCTATTTCCTTTCTTATAAAACGTCTCTCAAGTAGCAGAAGTTAGAGAGACCAAGTATTTTGGTTTTGAAACCAGGAAACTGGCACACGGAAATTGCATCGTTGCATGGTATGTCCGTCAAAATAACACCTGTCTTTTTTCTTTGATGTGGTTCAGAACAGTTTGCTTTGTACTTTCATTAGTATGGAATTAAATGCCAAGATAGGTGAGTGCCTGAACACCAGATTTTTTTTTCCCCTTTTGTCCTCATTTTTTTTTTAAGCCTAAACTATGACCAAAACAATCCCTAGAGAATCTTGCCAATGTGTTGTTTTCAGCCTTCGAGGGAGGACGTTGCAACTTATCCCTACATAACGGAGCATGCCGTGACCTTCACACACACACACACACATGAAACTGAACCTTACAGATAAAGCACTCATCTGTTAGCTTTTATCAATGGTGCCGGAAAAAAAGGCTTCTTTGCCAATGCTTCACTATTTACTGCCTTTAGTGAGAATGAATGAAAGGAAGCCCAGAGAGCTAGGAACATGCACCTAGCCCTCTGTTCTAGAAGGCAGGGTCAGTTTTATTTATGTAGTTGTCCTCAGCCTTTATAACGCTTTAACGTCTTACCTGGTGAGTTCAAGAGGTATGCATGACGCATGCTGACATTTTAAAGCAATGGCATACTCTATGTGAAACCCCTTTGATGATGGTCCTGCAATTTCCCCCTTAACCCCTAGACTCAAATATCTTTGCTTCTCATTGTGAGACGTGGCAACATCCTTAACATATTACTAATGCCCAGTGCTAGATGTGATGGTTCATTGCATTGCTGGGAGTGGTGGGGGGATATTCCTGCAATACAAGAGTTGTTTAACATTTTCAGAGCCTTAGTGAAATGGAGCATGCAACCAAAGGGGAGACTGCTTGGGATGGGAGGTAGGGGTGGGAAATAATGTTAATTTAAAATGTTCATAGGCAGGCCGGCCATGCACGGTGGCTCACGCCTGTAATCCCAGCGCTTTGGGAGGCTGAGGTGGGCAGATCATGAGGTCAGGATGATCGAGACCATCCTGGGTAACACCATGAAACCCCATTTCTACTAAAAAGACAAAAAATTAGCTGGACATGGTGGCACGTGTCTGTAGTCCCAGCTACTCGGAAGGCTGAGGCAGGAGAATCACTTGAACCTGGAGGCAGAGGCTGCAGTAAGTGAAGATCCCACCACTGCACTCCAGCCTGGGTGACAGAGCGAGACTCCATCTCAAAAATAAAGTAAAATAAAAATAATAAAATAAATGTTCATAACCATCCTGTGAGGATGCCCCAGTGCACTAGAGCTTCTGCCTTCTGTTAACCCCTGCACACGTTCCAGGATGTGTTAGGTTGTATTTGGACATCATAGATCAAACATGGGAAAGTTACATATTGATTTTGCCCCGTGACTTCACCAACCCTGCCTTGTAAGCAAGTGATCCGCATACACTATTTCTTAACAAGTCAACAGAAAATGAAAGTTCGCATGAGTGTGGTGTTTCCTTCTGCCTAGTCCAGAGGGCTGCTCAGTAAATTCTTAAGGAACTGCTATTGATCGCATTTCAAAATGGGAGAGATATCCCTGTTCCTTTGATGGCCATATTAATATGTTGTGTGCTTCATAAGGTTCCATTTGAACTCTGAATTTTGAATGAAGCATGAAAAAGGAGACACCTATACCAATCCAATGTCAGATTATCTCCCAGCAAGTCCACCCTCCTCATGGAGTGAAAATGAAATATCAAAACTGCTCAGTCAACAAAGGTTGTAACTCATGGTTTCAATGAAAGCCTCCTAAGGCATCATCTCCTGTATGCTGACAAAACCCGCTGTGCCCACTACCCATATTCTAAATAGCGCTAGTGTAATGAGTTCTCACCTCCTTATAAAAACATTTACTAGGGCAGATTTATTAAATCCTGCTATCTACTAGTTTGACAAAAGGCAAGTTCTCTATTTTTAAATGGAGTAAGAAAAAAAATCCACATGCTTAAAATTTCAGCGTCTGGGGCTTGATGGATGTTAGAACTGAAATTCTGATAACGAGGTGTTATAGTCACATTGATAGCCACGGTGGATGGGCTAAAGCATGGGCAGTTGTATCTGGGGCTTAGGGCAGAGACAGATAAAAATCACTAAGCAGTAGAACAGCAGCATTTCAGGATTTTTCTTTCAGTCTCCCAAAGAAAAGTGATGCCTTTTACTTGGGTCTTTTGTCGAGAGTGCCAACATATCTGGTCTGCTTCTTCTAGCCACATACAATAGGCGTTTTCATTAGCATTTGTGGTCTAAGAGACTGTAATTACAAGGATATTTTCTTACCCAGAGGTTTCAACAATGGTATTAGTTATGTTTTCACTGCTCCCAAAGTGTGCTCTGTTGGGTACCACTTGGGACTAGGCTTTTAACAACAGGGAAGAACACCTCCTAATGCATCCAGCTTGCACACTTGAGTAGTTTTTCATTCAGTAACATCAAGAACCTTTGATGAGTTGGATTCTGCAACAGATGGCACGAAGTGGGGAAAGATTTTCCCTTCTTAGACCGAAGGTCACCCTCTGTGATTCATTAGGACTTTTCCAAGGTGGGCTAGTGATTGTAGAAAAAGGTTGTAGAAGAAGGGTCTGGTGTGAGAACGGAGGCTGAAAAGCAGGTTATTTTGATGAGCAACTAGAAATTTATATCAGTCGATTAATATCTCTTGAGTCCTTGCTGGGTGTCAAGAACCATTCCAAGCCCTGGGGACATAGCATTAAATAGGTCAAGAGAAGCCCTCATCCAAAGACCTTCACTGTATCGGAGAACAGATCCCAAACCACATATATGAGTAAGTAAAGATATCACGCAGAGTACGTTATGAAAGAATCATCATGAATCAAAAAGAAGGGGAGGTGATGTCAAGTAAGGCACGATGCTGCTGTAGACTCAGTGATCAGAGAAGGCCCCTCTGAGGGGATAACATTTGAGCGGGGATCTGAAAGTGAAGGCGTGACCCCAAGAAACATGCAGCAGGTGCAAAGACGCTGTGGTTGAGGCGTACTTGAGGTGTCCAGGAGTCGGACATCCAGGTTGGTCCACGGATATGAGTACAGGTGAGTGGCTTACAGATAACATCTAGGGAGGTTAGCCAGGGGTCAGAGAAAGTTAGGGTTTGAAGGCCACAGAAAATGTTTGGGATTTTAAGAATGATGGGGAGGCAGTGGTGGAAGGGTTGTAATCTGACTTCAGTGGTAAGATAGACTGCTTTGTGGAGATCAAACCGCAATATGCAAAGAGCAGAAGAAATAGCATCTAAGGGCGATGGTGGGGGTGGGGGAGGGCTTGGAGCCTTTCAGAGAGTGCTGACAATAGCCTGGATTAGTAGGGTGGTTGCCAGTGAGCAGCGGTCATCTTTAAGCTGTGTTTTGATGGGAGAACAAACGGGACATATTGGCAGAATAGAAGGGTACAAGGTCCACTCTGTCAACTGTCTACTCCCTGTTCTTCTTCTAAGGGTATATCAGTTAATTCCATGGAGCAGCAAGCCGTTTATCCCTGACGTCATTGTTCCTTGTAGAGGCTTTGCTGAATTCTTCAGGGTTTAACAGTAACTGTCATTTACAGAGCAAATTCTGTGTGCTAGTACAGTAAATACACATACAGACATGTCTATGTGTACTGCACATACATACAATGCATACACATGTATGTATATATATGTTTATGTATATATTTGTGTGTATACACATACATGCATGGCAGCTCAATGAGGTAGATGTTATCCCTATATTAGAGAGTAAAAACAAATACACTCAGATCCAGAAACATTTAGCAGCCTGCCCTCAGTCACACTAGAGTCCATTCGATTCCAGAGTCCTTCCCTTTGGGTCATACTGCCTCCACTCACTGCCTGTCCGTCCTTGGAACTTTGACCTTCTGACGTCAGGTGGAACTCTCCTGCCTTCCCCAGCTCTGCTATCTTTTGCTCCTATAAAACTAGTATTTGCGAGTTGGATGACCAAGTTGTTAATGTTTGGAAGGGACCAAACGGCACTGAATGGTTCTCTCGCAGTGGTTCCACTGCAAGTTTATTTAACTTCGCCTGTCCTCTTCAGGCAGCAGGCTTATGTTTAGTTCTATGTGCTGAAAGTACCGGTGTAGATGTGGGGATAGAGGGAGCAGATGTCAGATCAGGAAGGACCTTCTGTATTAAGGAAGACAGAGGGTTAAACAGGCCAAGTGTGTTCTAGGTTAATTCATCAGACATCTTTTTTTTTTTTTTTTTTGCTGAAAGTTAGTGGCTGAAAATCAATTAACAATATCCTAGTCCTTGAAAATGACCAGACAGGTTGAAAGTGGTTTTAGCCACAGAGTCCAAGTGGAAAGCTCCCAGCTATCACCTCACTTTCCAGGGTAAGTGTGTGCGTATCGGGGTGTAGGTGGAGGCTGGGATGCACTAACAGAAACATATGTCCCCTC